TTGGTAAAGTCCTCAGCTACTACAGTTGTTTCCATATAACTCAGTTGCTTTGGTTTGGTGTGATTTGGTTTGGTTTCTTTCTGGCCAGTGCACAAGGGAGTCCAGTGTTCAGACTGCCTTGCATAAGTATTGCAAACAGCTACTACACAGTCCAAAAGGTCTTGGCTGGGTGCTGGGAAAGGAGTTCATGTGACTGGCAGAGACGTCAGTACATGATATGAGAAAAATGCTGAGGTGGAAAGAAAACAAACACAAACAAATGAAAATTACATATTCCTAAACAAACACTAAAGCCCTTGGGGTCTGCAGTTAAGGTACCGTTGCATTCTGGGTACAACCCTAACCATTCCAGGAGCAATGAGAACATCTTCAGCACTATCCTCCTCCTTGCCCCAAACTTTGCCTGATTTGCATTGTCTGTTGCTACTGCAGGTTCAGTGTAAGCTTTTATACTTTCTCTTCCACAATTTTCATTATAAAATACTTTCACTTTTTGAGTTTGATGGACATTCTTCCAATTGCTCTTTAACCTTGTTGTTAGTAGCTGAGGGAACATGTCTCAGAAGCAGTGTTTTCTTTTTCTAGCAGCTATGATGAACAATTCAGTAAATCATTTTCTTTTCAGCTCTTTTGGTCTTGAGGGTTTTGATTTAACTATTAATATTGCATATCTCAAGTTCCCAAAGAGATTGTTTTTCAAGTTACAATCACCTCTGCAGCCAGCGGTTCCAGTCCTAAGAAACAACTGCTTTGCCAAGGTGGTTGGAAGAGGGAAAGGGGGAGAGATTCCAGTCTCCGCTACACACTGCGCCAGAACAAAAACTGACACCTGAGATGGTGTCCAGGACGTCACGGTTCCCTTCTTCCCTAATGGTAAGTTCTTTCTTGTAGGCCTTTGGTATCCTTCCTTGCCACCTAACTTCCATCTAGCAAAGAGGTTCTAATTATGCAAAACCTCAAAATGGAATAGAGTTGAAATCCAATGCCTGACATTTGCCCTGGCACTTCACAATACACAAGGGACTTCTGGGAAGGAATGGCCATTGGCAAGCTGGGGGTTGATCTGCTCAGTCATCCTTCACCATGAACAGCAGGTACCCAAATGCCTTGGATTTGCATAACAAAGAAGACTTCCACTGAGATTCTTTCCCCAGAAGTTGTGGGCATCTTCCCAGCTCTACCTGTTTCTGGAGTTGAATTCTTAATTGGCCATTTAGGCAATTCCTTTCACTAAAAACAATTCATGTTCCCCATGCCAAGACTTTCTTAGTTAAAAGTTAATTCTTCTGAAGACTTTGATATGAAGTGATCAAAAGTACACAAAGCGCAACTGCTCAGGGTGGAGTCTCCATACTGTCTATGGAGAACTCTTATCTTCATACAACATAAATTGGAGTTATAAACATGCTGTAAGACTTTCTAAAATGCATTCCAACAGCTTTTCCATTTATAAAAATATCTCTCATAGAACTGATATGCTTGGAAGAGTATATCATAAAATCTTCCATTACAGGGCTAGGAAGAAGGTTAAACAACTTTGCTTTATGCCTCTTATCCTTGAAAACAACAAAAACCTAAGGAACCACTCAAAATTTCAGGTAAGTTTTTATGCAAACATCTTATATGAAGCATATGTAAGGGAAAAATAACACATAATTTTTTTTCATACACTTTCAGCTGACTTATAAAGTATTTTTTATTCAAACAAGCAGAGTAACTTAATTATAGCTTACCATGTGTAGGGATTGTTCTAAGAATATTGCTCATATTAACTTATTTAATCATCCCAATACTGTAAGGTAGGTACTGTTATTACCTAACTATTCCTACAGGAATTTAGGCATGGATGGTTTAAGAAACAATAAATGGAAGCTGGTAAATGGACAGAGCTGAAATTGAAGACCTACGCATAGTATGGCTCTGCAACATATGCTCCTGATCTTTACAAACATTACTGATAAATTTATAATTCTACTCTGTCAACTCTGTTTTCCACTTTTTTTTTTTTTGGTGATCTTCCTGTTTCTAGCCTTTCCAGTACTGGGATTACAGGCATGCACCACTAGTCTTGGTGGCCAGCTCAGTGCGCCCGGGGGTGGGGCCAGCACTGCAGGTGGTGCCGTGGATCGAACCACGGTCCCTGCACTTGCTTAAACCAATGCTTAATCTGCTGCGCTATCTCACCAGCCCTTTTATGCTGTTTAATGATTGCACTATACAAACATTGGCAGGAATTAAAAGAATAATACAGTGATACTTGGTTCTTGAATGTGAGTCTCTCTAGGATTCTAGTCACAAACTAAACTTCATGAGACCCAAAAGAATCTCTCCATGTGGCCAACACTGAGCCTAACCGCTGGATTTGGTCTGTTCCCATCCTACTCACATTCTGGTTCCTACCCTGACAGGCTCTGATCTGGGTTGCTGCTGTAAGGAGAAAGCAACAGCAAGGTGTGCTCTCATGGCCTGAAGGGTCCTCACCTTACCCCACTGTCCTGCCCATTGCACTTTGCCCTGTATCATAAAATTATGCACTAATTTTATTGCCATAATCACATTACAGAGCTGACCAAACTCATAAACCTCAGTCGAATCTCTGTATTTTACATCTTTAAATACTGATATTTAATATCACAAAGTTTTTGATAAAATATAAGTAGGAAACCAGAGCTTCTGTTCCTAGATGTGTTCATTAAAATCAGTTAAATTTATGTAAATGTACTTATTATTAAATTTCTAAATGGAGAATTCTGTTTCTAGGAGTAAAACACTTCATGTATGCAATGATTATTTTCTAAATTGGGATAACTGTTCTCCATCATGTCACCAGGTCTATTTATAAATCTTGGTACTTTGGTGACATAAGAAAAAAGCTGGCAAAATGAGCAAAAATCCTCTAATTAATTATATGGATAAAAATCGTGAATGACAATTTTTTTAAAAAGTTACAAGTTTAGGTTGTGTATGTAGTTAACAAGTCAATATTTACAACTAGCAGTAGACATACCCAGGGTTAAAGTTTAAATTGATAAAAACAAAAGTAGCTAACACTGTGTGCTCCTGGTGCCAAACTTCATTCCAGCAGGTGAGGAGGTGATATATTATCTCCCCATTTTTGGGGATAAGTGGCCATAAGACTAGGAACTAGAGAAAGTAGGATTCTTAAGAGTGATATTTCCTATTCTGATGCCCATAATTTGGAGAAAAATAAAGGCTTTTGATACTAAAATTTTTTATTGAAAATTTGAGTGATTTTTTTTTAATAGGGTTAGAGATTGAACCCAGGGTCTCAAAGCATTTTAGGAAAGTGCTACAGCACTGTTACACACCCCAGAGTGATATTAAAAAACAAAAACAAAAACCACAATGTTCATTTTGGTCTCACTCTGTGCTCTAACATTTTATTTGAATAAGCACACAGCAAATGTTGTGCTAAGGGCTGGCGAGATAACTCAGCTTAGGCAAGTGCAGGGAGCAGGCTCAATCCCTGGCACTACATGCCACACCAGCCTCCACCCCCATCCCCCATCGAGCACAATAAGAATGCCACTGAGATGGGGCATGGCAGCCCATGCCTGTAATCCCAGCACTGGGGAGGCTGAAAACAGGAGAAGGATTACTTTGAGTCTGAGCTGCATAGTGAGACCCTGTACCAAATACAGAAAGAAGGAAGGAAGGAAGGAAGGAAGGAAGGAAGGAAGGAAGGAAGGAAGGAAGAAAGAAAGAAAGAAAGAAAGAAAGAAAGAAAGAAAGAAAGAAAGAAAGAAAGAAAGAAATTTTGCTAGCTATTTCAAGGAGTATCAAAATGAAAACACAGAATTCTCATTCCCAAGGATTTTCATAAAAAGGAAAAATAAAACAGAAGAGAAATAATTGTAAAACAAGACAGGTTGGTTTGCACAACAGCATATTCATAAGGTACTACTTATTTCTGTTGATTACACCACGGGCTTGAGTGAAGAGAAGTGGGACAGGAAACCAAACTGGAACGCTAGAGTAAGTCGGAGAGGAGAGTGTGGTCAGTGCTTCACTAAGGAATGTAGACTTTATTTACAGGCCAAAAAGGTGTCCTTGCAGGAAAACTACATGACCAAAGAATTTTAGAAGATTCACCTCACAGTTATTGGCAGGGAGACAAGCAGCTTAAAAGCCAGTTTGGAGTAGGTGTAGGGAAGAAGCAATTTTGTGTGGGGGAAAAGTACCATTTGGGAATGGAGAGGAATCTGATTAAAAAAAAAAAAAAAGATAGGAAAATTGTAGTAATAGGCTGAGTATAAAAATAAGGTAGAGGATCATAAGTGTAAGTCCCACCTGGACAACTTAGCAATATCCTGTCTCAAAAAATATCTACACACACACACACACACACACACACACACACACACACACACAGAGGAATGCCCTGGGTTTGATCCCCAGGGTGAGAATGAGAAAAGAAAGAAGGGAGGGGGAGAAGATTTAACGACTCTGTTTCTTGGGGTAAACAGTAATGGCTTTAGTGGGCGGTAGAGAAGACAGGAGTATGTGCAGCTAGGACAGCAGAGATGTGACTTGAGTTTAAGACACGTTGACTTTGATAAGCCAATGACAAAATAAGAATGGGATTCTCACATGCATTTACTGAGTGAGCTTTTGTTGAATGTCTACTACATGGGCAACCTTTTTTTAAATACTTAGGATTATATCGATTTCACTACAAGAAGAGCTTTCTAGGGCTTTTTTCTCATTTAAGAGAACATGACACAATATCTTATTCTCATCTTATTCTATGAAGCATTCATGGAATACCCAGAGGAAAGCTGTCACCTTCTTCTAGACTCCTGTGCATTTAACTGTTTGTAATGCATACTGATCAGGGGCTTGGCATGTACATTATAGACACTTTGCTCAGATCCCCTCTCATGTTAAATTTTTACCAGATTGTTAACGCCTTGAGGGCAGGCATTATTTTACATAGTTTTCAAACTTCTCGCAGTCCCTCACTCAATAGGAAATGAGTCGTGCTTTAACTTGTGATGGAGAAAAAAATGTTACAGACAATTTTTAGCCTTGTGGACCAGAAGAATTAGTAGTATTTCACATATGGAACAGACGGATACAAGAAAAGGAGCCACAGAAGCTAGGTCTGCGACGGACTGTGAAAAAGACAGCTGAATAATGGCCAGGGCTAAGAAACTATTCAACATCCCACTTTCGATGGCAACTGTTTTACAAACAGGGAGAGGCAGCACACAGACTTTAGCAAAGGAATATCCAAACAGCAAACCCAAGGCAGGAACCGAGAGACCCAAAAGAAGCGCCTCTAGGTTAGCTAACTTGAGAAACGTTGATCCCATTCTGAAAGTCAAATACATGCCAGTAAACATTAAAACAAAACTAAGAGGTCTAATTATTCTCTCTAACAAGTTTGCTTTTTCAGGTATTCTATGTCTGATGATTATTCCAACAGATACCGGTATAACTATGAACAGGAGTGTTGACACAATTCTATTAACAGGAATATGAAATATAGCTGATAATCCTAATATCCTACTATATATATATGAATTGATAGGCATCATCATCAGGGCCAGTAATGTGGATGTGCAAGTCATCAAAATGGACAAAGTGACATCTCCTTCTAGAAGCAGAGCGAAGATATAACCCCCACCACCTCCTGGGCATGTGCAAGTCATGACAAATCCAAAAGCTTGTGCTTTGGGCAATGCTAAAATCTGAGACAAAAGGAAACCACAAAATGGCATCAGAAAAAACTGTGTAACTGCCCCGAGAAGTACCGGTAAAGGTCTCTTCCACACCATCTGAAGAACCTGCAATTCAATCTTGCAACCAAAGGCACATTTATTTAACAGTATCATTGATAAAATAAGCATTAAGATTCTCCTGTCCACATGCACCGGTGCCGGGAAAAGGCTGTCTTTTGTTTGTTTGCTTACTTTGACTTTAACATTCCTAATTTCTTCAACGAGTCTTTCTTGCCTACCTTCAGGGTCCCAGAGTTGAATGGTCAAGTTTGTCTCTCCTTCTTGATCTGTCATTAGGTTGATAGCAAACTTGGTAATGCCTGATAAGGTCTTGGTCACATTCAGCACCTGCAGAATCTTAGGATCTTCTGTTTGCACAAAAAGGTAGCTGGAGTTGGCCCGCTTACCTTTGTAACTCGATTCGACAATGATGGTTTCTTCAGTCTTTGTGAAAAACAGTGTTTCAGTCTTCCCTATATTCAGAAAACTAAGAAATGATTTCCTTGCTTCTCCTGGAGTCAAAAGCAACATAAGTAGAATCATGAAAAGTTTTCTAATCATTTTGAAAGCTTAAAGCATAGAAGCTAAAACATTGTTCAAAGACAAGAGAATAGTCTTCCTATAGGCACTCAGTGCTGGAGTGAGGCTGACAGTTGCTCTTGCTCGATCAGAGTCCAGTAGGAGGGACTGCTGCGCTTTCGGGAACTAACACAGAGCCACCTAGTGAGTGGCACAACCTGTTTAACTTGTAGGCAAGACAACTGAAAACCCATTTAATAGGCTCAATTTATCCTACATAGAAACATAACTTATTTATTTCTTCCTTACTTCCTTATTTTTGTTAATGGAAAAACAGCATTAAGAAAACTGTAGAGCCTGTATGTTTAGGCTTCTGGTGATTCTACAACTTCAGAGTGATTGGCAGGCAAACACAAACCTGTTTTTGGTGTCCTTAGGAAAGAAAATAATTTTCTAGATGGTTATCAGGTAATTCAGGAACACAGAGAAAGCAGGCAGCTTTGTACAATGGTGCAAGGTACAGCCTGGTGCAGAGTCTGCCGTTCCTGGACACTGAGGGCCTGCAGGTAGGGGGATGGAAAGGCACTGACGTTAAGCTTGAGGTCTCAGTTCTTCTTCGTAATGCCACTTCCTGTTCACAGGGCATGGGCACTCAACTGACCAGCTCAGGCCACATACTGCGACTGTTCAGCGTCAGTGGCCGGGGAAAAAGAACATCAGGATTTTTAGACTTCTCCTTAGACTCAAAAGGCAGTTCTGACACTGAGCTGCAAAACCTAAGATAAAAACTTTAACACCATAGCTGTTAACATGTGAGCCTGCAGACCCACTAGTCTCTTCACACATGACCATTTTAGATGATCCTTTATGTACTCATGATACAGCGTGTCCACTGTAATGAGGGTGGCTTATGCCAATAATTATTTTTTTGCCACTAAAAACTGCCAAAGTAATTTTTATCAGAAATTTTGGCAAGTATTAAAAATTCTATTGTTTCTGTAGCTTCATCTTTCAAACACAACATTTTGGGCATGATTATTTTGATGTGAGACACTAAGAAATTGACACATTTGTATCAGTGGTAAGACTAGGGAATGTACCAAATCTGTTGCAGCGATATTTCAGATTTCCTGTCAACTCCTATAGTATAAAATGACAAATTTAAAACAAAAACAAAGCTATTGATACAATTATGTGATCAAATATATTATTTTTGAAAAAAAAAACCCAAATATATTATTTTTTGAGTTATATTCTCACTAGGAGCCACAAGCTGATCTCAAACTTAAGCTCCTCCTGCCTCAGCCTCCTGAGCACTGAAATTATAGGCATGTATCGCCTCTTCCAGTATGTGAGCAAGGCTCTTTTTATTTATTTTATTTTTTTCAGAACTGCGCATTGAATTCAGGATGATCAAGTATCTTAATTCACCGCTTTTATAGCCTGGACCCAAGATATTAAGTGTATAGCCTCCCAACGTTCGGCTTCAGATGCCTGAATCTCTTTCTTTCTACAGGTTCTCCCAAGTCACTGTCTTATCTGAAAACTGCAGGAAATAAAACTTGATAAATCTAGACAAAAAAGAAAGTCTCCCAATCTATCATTCATACGCACTTGCTATGTGGTTATTTAAATGGAAATTCATTTGTATCAGTGTTGTTTCAACTGCTTACCTAAATTTAAACCCTCCCCCACTATGTGGGTTTCTACTTACAATTGTAGTTGTCTATAAGGAAGAAGAAATACACTAGGGTAAAACTGGGACAGCAAAACCCTAAAATTTCATTAGGCAGATATAAACAGACAGAGCATATTTTAGAAAGAGATAGAGGGGGCCGGCCAGATAGCTCAGCACATTGAAGCACCTGCTCAGGCAGGTGCAAGGACCGGGGTTAGATCCCCAGCCTGCAGTGCCAGCCCTGCCCCCCAGGCGCACTGGGACAGCAATTGAGACTGAGCATGGTGGTGCGTGCCTGTAATCCCAGTGCTTAGGAGGCTGAAAACAGCAGAATTACTACAAATCTGATTTGTATAGTGAGGCCCTATACTAAATACATAAAGCTAAAATAAAATTAATAAAAATTTTCCAATTTCTATGATGAAAACTTTCTTTAAAAAATAAAATAAAAAGAGATAGAGGGACTGAGATTCTCGCTTATACCCTGTTCTATCCAGGACACCACGTGCTGAAGCTACCAGGCTTGGCACTGAGGACACTAGGCCCTGCGTGTCCTCTGCGCTCTGGGATCTCACACCCTTTCTGCAGGAAGCGCGCGACCAGCTGTCCTTTTTTCCGTGCAGTTTTCTCTTTACTATGTCATCATTAACAGGAATTGTTTTTCACTGTGCACAGGCTTAAGTCAATCCTTGCTGGGCTTACTCTTTGACTCAATAATTACTGTTTTCGCAGCATATTTTAGTTTAATTATATGTGCAAGTAACTGTGATGACACTAAGGTATTGGTCTGTATTAAAACGTTCTTGTATCTAAAGATTTTGTATTTAAAGATTACTTCCTCTTCTGTTTCTATAGTTTCTGACAAGAGAGCTACTGGAACGTAACTTTACCGTTTATTCATTCTTTTGCACCTTGTTTTGTATTATAGCTATAAATATCTATACACATCTTCACTGTATCTATCAATTAAAAACCAATCCTTACAGTTAGTAGGTATTCAAACAATTATGTTAATAGGCAACTGTATACATACCCTGATAAAACTCTTAAGTAATTACCATTCTTTACGAGAACATGAAGAATAAGAGATGAACAGATGAAAAAACATTGAGTTTATTCTTAATATTAAACCCTAATCACTGTAAATGTCTATTATAATTAGAAGGGACAATGAACAAATGGAAATAATTTGCATTTCTCCTATACAGTGCTTTATTTGGTATAGAAAGAAACCACCAGTCAGCATTTATTTCAATTTATTGGTTAAAAAAATGTCTTTTTTCAACATAGGCTTTACTTAGATATGTAGAGACTGTAATGAAGGTGAGCTGCCCCATCTTTCTTCTCATTAATGCATTCATACAAACATAAAAGCTGACTCCAACTCAAGGAGTTTCTTTATCAGAAATTTGCCCCACTGTATTCAAGTGATACCAAGAAAATTATTTTCCCATCTTAGGCTGAGAGTCTTCATTCAAAAATTTAGAAAACTGAGGGCCAGCCAAACAGCTCAGTGGATTAAAGCACCTGCCAACAGGCTCAGGGGGGAGGGGTTCAAATCCCCGGGCCTGCTATGCCGGCCCTGCCCCTGGGGCGCACTGAGATGGCAATTGAGATGGCATGATGGTGCGCGCCTGTAATCCCAGCTCTTGGGAGGCTGCAAACAGGTGGATCACTACGAGTCCGATCTAATAATGAGACCCTGAACACCCAGTAGACCCTTCCCTAAAATACAAAAAAAAATGTAGAAAATTGAAAGTTATGATCTCTTAATTTTAATAATTCATTTAAATATCAATTTATACATCATGTTGTACGTAGACAGTGAGATTATACTTTAGGCCCTATAATACTAGGCTTGACCTGTGACACTCTTTTGAGACTCAATAGAAACATGTGCCATCTTCTCCCTCTGCTGAAAAATGGGAAAGTCCTCAAAAGGGGGTTGTTTTATAGCTTAGAGCCTGAGGGGAAGATGACTTGGAGCACTGCCACAGCCAAGCATGGCTGACACTAACCAGATATATATATATATATATATACCTAGACTGATATTTCTAAAGTCTAACCTAATAAAAAAGTTAAATATAAGGATTAGCTAACCATTAGTATAAACTTTAAGACACAAAAACTCAAAGTTAACAGAAAAGTGATTATGTAAACGACGACACACTGGAAATAAATTAAAAGGCAACTTTGAAAAAGCAAATAGTATTTGTGGTAAAAGAAACTGAATAACCAGGTTCATAGCACTTCCCTTGTGACGTCTGGCTTAATCTCTGACTATGACAAGTAAGAATCAACATTTTTTAAAGACTGTTCATCATCATTCAGATATTCCAAAATAATATTTCCACCATTATATAAAGGACAATCTTCCTTAGCAAGCCAGGTTTCCAAAGTATGGTCCAAAGGTAGAGCTTCTCCTGAAGAAGTATGACACAATCTTAGCTTCTGTTAAGATAGAAATAAAATTACATTGTAATAGGCAAACATGTTGCTGGAACAGAATATCCTAAAACTTTTTTAGGGGAAAACTTTTAGGACTCGATGTTACCTTAGCTGCTAGTCTGTTATTGTCATTTTTAAGACTGGCGAGCGAAGCTGCGAAGTCTATGGCCTTTCCAATGCTCCATCGGTGGCAAAAGAACATGGGTTTGCTCTTGTCTTTGCTCCCCTTTGGTAAGAAAACTTGAAAGTAAATTCTTTCTGCCTGTAAAAACAAAAGGTTAAAATACAGACTGTAGAAGTAAAGCCTCCATTTTTGTCTGATGATACCTTGTATCTCTTCTTTTCTCCTGGTCAGAGAAGGCCTACCACACATGGGGTATATTTCAGTGGGAAGACCCATCAGACTGTATCGATATCCTCCTAATGCACAGGCATGAGATCCAAGACCCTAGTGGGAGTACACTGTTTGTTTGTTTGTTTATTTTTCTTTTGTATTTAGTATACGGTCTATAGGGTCTCACTACACAGGTCAGACTCCCAGTGATTCTCCTATTTGCTGCCTCCCAACTCTGGGATTACAGGCATGTGCCACCACACCCAGTCTCAATCACTGTCTCAGTGCACCCCGGGGGCGGGGCCAGCACAGCCCACCGACTGAACCCCAGCCGCTGCACTGTGCCTAAGCAGGTGCTTTAGTCCGCTGAGCTATCTGGCCGGCCCTCAAGAGTAAACTATTTATAAACATAGGCACATACATGACTTAACAAGGGCCAATAAAGGTCTTTTGAGGAGATATTTGCACTTTTTTGACCAGGAACATACACAAATCTGTTATGTGTCTGGTGATAGTTTTCTTACTGATTTATTGGCATAGCTAGTAAATGTTGTGTAGTTCTCTTCAGTAATCTGTGCTGAGCATGTCTTTTCACTCTGACCTCTTTCATTTTACTTATTCATCTTTGTTGAGATATAACTTCACACAATACAGTATGCTCATTTTATTTTTTAATGTATTTGGTTGTTACAGGGTCTCACTACGCAGCTCAGATTCATAGTGATCCTCCTGTTTTCAGCCTCCCAGTTCGGGGATTACAGGTGTGCCCCACTACTCCCAGACTCTGTAGCTGGCTCCGCTAACACTAGGGGTGGGTTGGTGGGGCATGTGGTGCCAGGGATCGAACTGTGGTCTCTGCACTTGCCTAAGCAGGCACCTTAACTCACTGAGCTATCTCACCAGCCCCAATCTGCTCACTTAAAAAAAAAAAAAAAAAAAAAAGTGCTGGTTTTATAAATCAATTCCTGGCTTAGTAAAATTTTTAATATAACTCAGACATCTCCAGTTTTTATGGAAAGATCATAATTATTTTAAGAAAAAAACAGATTCAAAAATTCCCATCTTAGCACTAAGGAATTTAGATGTGTTGAGAATCAGTAGTATGATGAATAATAAGCCCATCAAGAAAAATCAAAAGATCATTGGAAATTTCAAACTTTGGGCCAATTCTGTAAACAAACAGACCCTGCAAAAAAATATAGAGTAGTAAGAGCATAAATATTAAAAGAAAAAAATTAAAAAGATATAATAATCTCATTTAAAAAAGAAATCTGAGCTCAAAAGTGAAACGCAGCTGTCAGGGCTCCAGAAGAAAAGGCGGCAGCCCAAGCTGGCCTGAGGGGGATGGAGACACAGCCTGGAGATGATGGTCCTGCCCCACACACAAGGCTCCGTGCAGGGACACAGCGCTGGTGCACAACTTTGGGGGTGGGAAGGACAGCAACGGTGCTATGTGACCAGGGATACTGCTTATAGGAATCAGTATTTAGAGGGCCGGCCAAATAGCTCAGCGGATTAAAGTGCCTGCTTAGACAGAGCGCAATGGCCCGGCTTCGATTCTCGGCACACCGTGCCGGCCCCGCTTCTGGGGTGTGCTGAGACAGTGATTGAGACTGGCCATGGTAGCGCACACCTTAATCCCAGCTCTTGGGAGGCTGTAAACAGGCGGATCACTAAGAGTCCGATCTGTGTAGTGAGACCCTGTAGACTCTTACTAAAAATACAAAAAAAAAAAAAGAGAAATCACTATTTAGGAATGCAGAAAACCAAAGGTATAGCCTTGTGCTGGAGATCAAAGCCAAGGCCTTCAGCTCAGTAAGTACATCTGCAAGAATCACAACTGCCAATTCCCTTGATACTGCTAAGGTGGCACAGCTGTTTCAATCAATAGATGTCCCCTGTATACCAATGCCCCAATCACCATTTTGACATCAACAATACTGCGGTCCACTTCCAGAGAACTGGATGCAGGGCCAATTACACTCTATCAGTTTATCAAAGAACTAGAGTTCATAAGAAGTTTATGATCAAAAATCCAGATTAACTAAGAAGAATATATGCAGTATATTATTTGTTGAAACTGTACTTCCGATTTGATTTGAAACTGTCTCATTGCTATCTGTTTATCAATAAAATTTTGAAAAAAAAATAAATTATGGTTTTCATATTATAAAAAAAATCCAGATTAAAAATTACATATAAAATATAGCAGAAGTAACCAAAATAAGACACAAAAATAAAAAATAAAAGATAGGAACACTTTCAAAGCCTGGTTACTCAGGGACATCTTGGAAATAACAAGAGAACATGAGAAAAGGATCCTACAGTTGCCAGATGACATAAGGCTAATCTAAGATTAATTGAAATAAGTAAAAATTCAGAGGACAGCACAAAGGGTATTAAAAAAAAACTGTTTACAGAAATAATAGCAGAAAAGTTTCCAAATATTGGGAATGATTTAAACCTCTTCACATTACATCACATGCCAGAAAGCCAACACAGGGACGGAATTTTGAAAGCTGCCCCTTAGCTCAGTTCTTTAAGTGGCTGCTTCAACAAAGCAGTCAGGCTCAGGTTGCTGTGGTTCGATCCCCACAACTCAACCCAGCCAAACCTGCCCTGAAAGCATTATGAGCCAGGTTCCACCACCACCAAAAAAAATCCTTCTGCCATTTTGGGCCAGGGAGATGGCTCAGTGGAATAAGCACTTCCCTAGCAAGTGCAAGGGTCTGAGTTCAATCCCCGGTTCCACCAAAAAAAAAAAAAAGAAAGCTGTTAGAGAAAAGCAGTGAATCGCTTACAAAGGTACACCAGTAGGATTACAGCAGATCTCCTAGCACAAACCTTTAAGGCCAGGACAGCTTCGAATGAAATGCTTCAAAGCCTTAAAAATAATTATTTCTATCCTAGACCTAGATATCCTGCAAAATACTCTTTCAAAATTGATGGAAAAATAAGTATTTCCACAACAAAGAACAACAACAAAAACCTCATGACCACCAAACCAGCATCACAGAAAATTCTCATGGCTACCCTAGAAAGAAAATGAATCCAAGGAGGCCAAAAAATCTAATACAATAAATAAATGCACCAAGCAAGGTAAGCAGTTAAGTAGAGTGGGGAGGGAGAGGGAGAAACAGTAACAGAAACTAATGCAATGACATAAATAAGTCAGTAACTTTTGATAATAACTGTAAATGTGAGGGGTCTCTGGGCCAGGGATTTGGCATAGTGGTGGTGTGCATGCCTAGGAAGCATGAGGTCCTGAGTTTGAGTCCTGGTACCAAACCAATAAAGTAAATAAAATAAAATAAGATAAATGTAAAGGGTCTTAATTCACCAATCAAGACACACAGATTGACAAAACAGATCAAGAAAAAAACTCTAATGATACACAGTATACATGAAACATATTTAATCAAAAAAGAAATATTCTGCAGGTTTTTAAAGTTTAACATATCAATACTTGATGGAAAATACCTGTTCCATGTTATGCCTAAGATGTTTGATACTGGGACAGATAGGTTAAAGCCAACTGCATACATTGTAGGGTAATAATAAGCTTCTCTTCTGGAGGGTTAACAACCTAAGTTTATAGACCAAAAATCAGAGAAAAAGAAGGGCTGCAAGGACAGCCAACATTTTGGCCCTAGCCTTTCAAGGTCAGTGAGGACTCAGGACATGGGAGAATCTATACTGTAACATTATGTAACTCAGTTGTGTCCCAAATTTTCTAATCAAGGAGATCATGGGGCCACAGAGGAATGTGATCAATGATGTAGAGTGTGCCTAAGGAGAGTCACACGGAGAGAAAACATTCTCTCAGGCTTTCACAGAGAGCAAACTGGTCAAGCAATTGCCGTGACTCATCCACATGGATGACACTTGCAAAGGATCTACAAACTGCAGTATAGGGTTTCAGGTTAAATCCTGAGGGGATTTGACTGACCTTATCAGATACCAAAGTTACATTTTTTGTTATATAGGTCTTGCTTTATCTTGGTCTTAACCATCCAGCAGAAAAGTATGAAAATGAAGTATAAAAAGTAAAGCCACAGTAATGTGCTGAGCTTTTAAAAGCTCAAGTCAACAACTTTGGACAGTAGTCAACTTTAGTCTTACGGAAAACCTACTACTATTACAGACTACTGGACTTTATTGGGAGATTCTGCTGAATTCAAGCACCTACAATATTTAAATGACAATGGATTGCCCATCTCTGACAAAACTAACCAAAAAAGTGGAATAGAAATAAATGACACTTTTGTATCCATATACTCAAAATAGGATAGATATACAGCTCCATTCTCTTAATTCAATGAATAGAGAGGTTTGTTATAATAGTGTTTGAGACAGGATATCATGTCTGCATCTTGTACAATGAATAAACACTAAGACAACAATATGCAATGTATTAACTACTGAAAATGTGCCAGTAATTGGTTGTGAAACTGTCTTATTGATATTTGTTTCTCAATAAAATTATTTTAAGAAAAAGATGTGCAATATAACCATAAGGACTAAGGAAAAAAAATAAAGAAATGCACAGATTAAAAAAAAATATCAAAGGATGGAAAACAGTATCTCATGTACAGAATCTGGACCAGAAAACTCTGTTGGACCACTTTCCCACACACCATCAAATGTTTAGCAGCAGCCCTGTTCTTTATCCATCAGATACCAGTGCACTCGATCCTGAACTGTAACTATCAGAACTTCTCCAGATATTGCCAAGATTATCATGAGTTGAGAATTACTAATTGAAGGGGAAATAAATGAATGAAGGACCAGAAATGTGTCCTTGTTTTTGGTTTTCCTTTTTCACACACATCTTCTAGTAGTTAATTTGTTAAGTGGACTATCTTACAATTTTAAAATCTCATAACATTTTTTAAACAGTGGAAACATGAATAATCACAAAAAATAGAAATTTAATCAATGATTTCCAAACCAGTAAATAAGAGTAAATATAGAAAACTCAAGAAAACAGGTGACATGAAGGAAAAAAATGAGCAGAAAATATAAAATGGAAGAAATAAATTCAAATATATCAGCAGTAACAATAAATATAAATGAATTTAATTCACCTGTAAAAGAGAGATACTATCAAGCTGGATGAAAAAAAAAAACAAACTCCAGCTATACGCTGCTTACAAGAGATAACCTAAAGCAAAACAACACAGGAAAGTAGAATATAAAAGAATGAAAACAAATTACATATTCATAAAAAGGAAGGTAGGAAAACAGTATTATAATTCAAAATAGGATCTGAGGTAAAACCTCAAAGCTCCACCAAATGCAGAAACTGTAAATACCTAATAATATTCAACCTAGCAAGCCTTTAGAATTACAAGAAAAAATGGACAAAAACACATCCAGCATTGGAGATTTTAATATAACATCTGTCTCAGAAACTGATAGGCCAGGGGCCAGGGAGATAGCTCAGTAAAATAAGTGCTTGCCTGGCAAATGCAAAGTCCTGAGTTCAATCCCTGGTACTGCAAAAAAGAAAGAAAGAAAGAAAGAAAGAAAGAAAGAAAGAAAGAAAGAAAGAAAGGAAGGAAGGAAATTGATAGGTCAAATATATAGCCTCTCTCACATACACAAACACACAAAGACACACAGACACACATACAGCGATTGCAAATAATAAAGCAAATAGAGAAAAGTAGAAATAATTCCTACATGTAGGTAAAAACTATGTAAAAGGTTTTTGTGCCATTCTTGCAGCTATTCTGTTTGAAATTTTATCAAAATAAAGATATAAAAGACTCCACACCCAAACATCTACACTGCATTCACCTTCACCATTCTGTGAGAGGTTTGAAAAAAAAAATTAGATAAAATCTAAACAGTAGAAAAAATGAAATTCTAAGCAGAAAATACTGCTTAACAAAACAAAGAAACAATATACATGATCACAAATTAAAAAGTCCTTTGAAAACAGTAGCAAAAACTAGAAATCTCTAGCAAGATCATTAAGAAACTGTAAAATGATAAATATTAAGAATGAAATGGAATGACCAAAGACTCAATAGATTTTTTGATTATAAGAGAACAACATGAAGAACTTTCTAACAAAAAATTGGAAAATTTATATCTAAGGAATTTTCTAGAAAAATATTTACCAAAATTGACTTCAAAAGAAATAGACATCTAAATAAGCCATAAACTATTTAATATACTAGAACAGTATTCAAAATTCTTCCCTCAGAAGAGGCAATAACCAGCCTCGCTGATCAGTGGTGGAGTATTTGCCTAGCATGCATGAGCCATAGGTAAAATTTCTAGTAGGAAAAAATAAATTTAAAAGGTTGTGACAACCTTTACAACTAGTATAAAGAGACTGATACTAAAGTCAGCTAAGTAACACAGAATTTTAGCAAATAAATTTAGCACTGTATTTTAAAATAATCATCTATAGTCAAGTGGCTCACCCTGGAATAGGGTAGCTGACTTAAGAATAACAAAAACCAATCAACATAATTTATCACATTGGTAATGGGGAAAACTTATTAGAGGTAAGAAAAAAAAAAAAACTTCTAGTAAAGCTTAATATCCATTAATATATAAATTCCTAGCAAACTAGGAACAAAGAAGTGTCAGCATGACAGAGGCTACAACAAACAAAATAGGTGATGAATCTTCAGATAGATTTACACTGAAGTTAGAAATATGATGGCGGGACAGGGTGCAGCTCAGGGGTGAAGTGCAGCCCTTGCCTGGCTTGCTGGAGGCCCTGAGCTCCATCTCCAGCACCACCACCACAAACAAATGAAGATGCCTACTTCCGGTATTACTGATTAGTCAACACTGTTGTGGGGATATCAGCACTAAGTGATAATAAAAGGAAGATGAAAAGTAAAGTTAACTTGGGGGGAAACCCCAGCAAAACGGGAATTTGTGGAAAGCATGATCACACAGAAAATCTATGAAGTATGGAAGCCACTCTACATTTATTTGTTAGATAGGTCAACACACAATAACAAATACGACAATGTGACTTAAAAAATTTAAAAAATTGTGAAATTTTAACAATGACAACAAAAATTGCAAGAAGCCTAAGAATAAACCTCAGAAAAAGCCGTGTAATTGTACATGGAAGGCATTATAGCTTTACATATTTAGAAGAGCTCGAGAAGAGTTGAAAAGATAAACCAGGGACTTGGGTGGAATAAGTCGAACCTGTTAATGATTTTTAAAATTCAGTACAATTCCTATCAAAATTGCAATTTCACAGGACAAGTTGATCCTAAAATTTTATGAAAGAATGAATGGCCAAGAATGAACATAGCTGAAAGTACTACTACAGGAGATAATCCAGAGCACACAGGTAACAGGAATCTGGCAGTCCCTAGGAAAACCGAAGCTGAGCGAGTCTCGTGTCCCAGGTTCTCTATTTCTAAACACATATTCCCTGAAATAGCAGTTTTTAATCTGATGGTTTCAAGCCGTTATGGGTTGGAACATCAACCTAGTAGGTTCTTGTCATAAATCTTTAAAACAGTATCAAAACAGAATAAAAAATATTAGAGCACGTAACACATACTAAGCCTAAGTATCATTTGATGAAAATGTGCCAAGGAAACTCAATAGGTATGCGCATATATATGGAACTGTTATATGAAATAATTTCTATTGTGCATTTTTAAGGGGATTGACATGGAAAAACTCACAGACATGAGAATCTTCACTGTAAAACAGGTTAAGTACAAAAAAAGACAGAAAAAATTTGAATTTTACTTATGAAAAGACTATATAAACTGGGGGATATTCACACTATGGAATAAAAAATGAACTAGATTAAAAGTTGCCTCACAGATAAATGTTAAAAACATGATGCCAATGGGAAAAAAGATGGACACACAGTTTTGTAAGGTAAAAAACCCTCAAAATGTATGTATCATTTATGCATAAGTCATATATTATTAGAAATTATATATATCAGGGACAGGTTACTAGTTACTTGATGCAAGGGGGGAAGAAAAAGAGGATTTCAGGAATATTTGAAATTTTCTGTCATTCCGTCTCAACACCAACCTGTGGCAATGACTCATCCCCGTCAGCATGCATCTTTAATTTCATCAGTGCAATCTTTGCAGCTGTCTCACTATTTTTTGCGCCTTTCCGCCGTTTATTTCCTGTCTCTCCTGTCTTGGAATCTAAGAAATAAATGTAACCATGTATATAAATTAGGAACTTTTACATTGCTTTTTCCAGAGTTTTGTTTTTTGACAGTAAAATACTTGTGGATTAGGACCCTGCATACATAAACTGCACACACTAGAAATGCACAGAAACCACAATGCAATTTGCAAGCATTTTATTTATATGACTACCAGAAAATTTTCATTCAGAGACTGGGCATGGTGGCATGCGCCTGTAATCCCAGCTCTTGGGAGACCGAACACAGGCGTATCACTATGAGTCTGATTTACCTAGTGAGACCCTATAGACCCTCACTAAAAAATACACAGCAAAAAAAAAAAAATTCATTGAGGGTGATCTAAACCAGAGCAAATCTTTCAGAGCTTTCAATGATCACAAGCAGCTTGCTGCAGCACGCGTGTCGCTCCTCTACACCATCTTCACATCAACAAATTCACTGGCATGTGTCTCCTCCAAACATAAAGCTCCTTAATCTGAAGGAGCCACTAATGTTTTTACAAAAAAAAATTTAGGATTTAGTACTGTTCTTAATCCAGAATGAAACTTCTGCTGAACTGACATACACGTAGAGAGGTGAACCCACAGGTATGGTTATGGTTCACATCTCCAAGTGCCCCCAAATGCATGCACACGTGCTCACTGGTGGGGCTCTAGGGAGGTGCCCAGATCCGGAGGGGCTATGAGTTTACAGCTAAACGTGATGTTGGGAGGTGAAGCCTGCTGGGAGGAGGTGGTCCCTGGGGGCGTGGCCTGGAGTACATCTCCCTCTTCCCCCCTTGTCCCTTTCTGCTCCCTATCACTCCGCCATAAGCCTTCTTTTCTCTGCCCTGTCCCGCTGCCATGCTGCTATGCCTTGGAGCTAGCTGACTATGGACTGAAACCTCTATAAACTGTGGGCCAAAATACATCTTTCTTCCTTAAAGTTGTAATGTTAGGTACTGTGTCTCAGTAACAAGGAAGCAACTGAGACAATTCACCTCCTATTATCCAACAGTATTCACAGCATAGCCAATCCGCTTATTTTATAGAGAAAGCAATCCAGCATGCCAATTTCATGAATGCCGCATCTATCCATAACGGCTAACAAGCTAATCTGCACAGCCCAGCAAGAGACCATCCGGTGGGCATTCACAATATTCACAGATTATCATTGGTCAGGTAGGGCTTGTGCCAAACATTACCACAAGAATGTCACCAAATTACAAGTTATCACCTCCCAGCCTATGAGCCATACCTTCCATAACTGGTAAGAACATTTAAGAGGCAGAAGCTCTGGAATTAACAGGTTACACAGCAACAGGGAAATCACCAAATGAGCTTTCTAGCTACTTACCAATAATATTTTTAACAAGCGCTTGAGTGGCAGCCATACGAGGCTTTGGGATCTCTAGTCTTTCACACTCATGATCTGACTGATGACGGTGTCTATGAGCAACAGAAGAGTAACACCACTTCATACATTTGTATATAACTTAGACATGCAAAGCTTGAATAGTCTATGAGATCCACCTTAGGCAAAAATTCTTCTCACAATAAGGACATATAACTGCCACAAGCTCTCTTTCAGCACAATCCCTGAATGAGCACGGGTATGATTCATGTGTATCGATCTTTGGTTTCTCATTGATTACAGTCATCTAAAAATGGAAAAAAAGAAAAAAGAAAAAAAAATCCCAGCATTACAGTTCACATTAAAAGGAAATTTACAAATCTATTTTGTTTTTTGTTTTTGCAGAATTGGGGATTGAACTCAGGACCTTGCACTTGCCAGGCAATTGCTTACTGTACTGAGCAATTTCCCCGACCCCTACAAATCTATTTTGGAATGCAGCACTCCTATCATTTTTAGTTAACTTTATTAGATCAAGTTATATATGCTCACATAATGTTGCACAATTGCTCACATAATCTTGTGCTGCTATTTGAAATTTTCATACTGAGCATATTCATTTTCTATGCTAAGTTGAAAGGTCAGACATGGTGGCACAAACCTATAATCCCAGCATTAGGGAGGCTGAGGCAGGAGATCGTTGCAAGTTGGAGACCAGCCTGGGCTACAAAATGAGCTCAAGCCAGCCTGAACTGCATAGTGAGACCCTGTCTCAAAAGAAAAAAAAAAAGAAGAAAGACAGAAAGGACTTCTCTTAGTCTTCTAGATTGTAATAGGCTCATATCAATATGCCCTCATTATAAAATTCTTTGTTAATCATCTCATCAACCCCAAATGGCAAATGATAACAACTTTCTATATCAGTCATAAGAGACTGCACACCTAACCTAGTAGATATAATACTTTAAAATTATGTATTTATCCATGAGTCCAAGTTATTGATAATTTCGAAAAACAAGATTTTATGGTACTTTTAAAAAGTACATATCAGCCAAACTATTGAGCATCAAGTAAAAAAGTCTCTTGAATTAAATAAATTTTGAGATACAAATGTTTAAAAACTATAACCAGAGAGGGGCTGGGGATTTGGCTCAGCAGTAGAATGCTTACCTAGCAAGTTGGAAGGCCTGGGTTCAGTCCTCAGCACCAAAAACAAAAAATAAACCTCCCCTAAAAATTATTATTATTTTTTCTATATTTTTTAAATTGAGAAACAAATAACAATAAGACAGCTTCAATACTGATTAATAGGACAGTTTCAATAATTAATACATTGTACATTGTTATCTTCTTCTTTTTTTTTTTTTTTTTGCGGAACCGGGGATTGAACTCAGACCCTTGCACTTGCTAGGGAAGTACTTATTCCACTGAGTCATCTCCCCGGCCCCATTGTTATCTTCTTAGTGGTTATCCATAGTACAAGATGCAGACAGGATATCCTGTCCAAACACTATTAGTACAAATCTTTCCTCTCATTGAATTAAGCAAAGGCAGTGTATATCTATCCTAACTGTTCTGTATATACAGATACAAAATGCTCCTTCCTTTCTATCTCCAAACATGATTTTTTTTTTTTTTTTTCTTCCTGGTACTGGGGATTGAACTCAGGACCTTGAGCTTGCCAGGCAAGCACTTATTCTACTGAGCTATCTCTCCAGCCCTCCTCTAAAAATTATAACCAGAGGAAATTCTTTGGACTGATAGTTACATTTTGCAGACATTAACTTAAACATCCTTCCAAAGTTTTCTTAATGATCCATTGCTAAAATTACTTTTATTTCATTATTTAATTAATGAGATCAAACAGTTAATTCAGAGAAATAAAATGACATAAGAAAAACAAAAGTGAAAGATTTATAAACTGTGTAAGAAACACCAATCAATTTTACAACATAATATTTCCTGGGACCATGTTAGGGAGTTTTTATTTTCCTTAAACAAGCCTTTGAAAGGCTCACATTCTGACTGAACTCATGTAACCTGAATTTTTTATAACTGAGATAACAGAAGTAAAAATCTCAGAAAAATGCTTGATAAATGAGAAGCAGTAGTAATACACATCAGCTGTACAGAGTTAGAGACAAGTGCTTTTTACTCAGCATTTGAATTCAGTTTAAATTTCTCCCTTTCTCTGCCTAAAGGACAAGTGATGCGATGTAGCGGACTGCCAGCTTTCACAAAACCGTTAACCTAGGCATGGTGGACAGAGCCTTCTCTTCTTCCTCTTGAACGTGGCCTGCTTGCAGGAAGGCTGAGCTGGTCAAGTCCTCTGGCCTAAGCCAGCCCAATTCCAGGTTTCTCCTACAGACACTCTGGCTCCACACCAGGTCTCACTGTTTGATTTACTCACTATCAGTAATATGGGTGATGTTTTGATTTCTATCTGCCAGCCCCTTTTAAATGCATCAATTTGTTCAGCATTAAGATAGGGATTTTGTTGGATTATAAATTTGTTCCTGGTGGTGTAAGGCTGACTGAGACAGAAAATCTTACTAACAAGGAATCCTATCACTAGATAGAAGTGAAAATAAGCACAGCAGTGAAATAAACAATGAAATGGAAGGACTAAAGGATGGTATTAATTCAAACATACACTTACGAATACATAGTCTAAGGCTAAGTGGGCCACTAAAACAAAAATATTAAGGAATAATAACTATAAGGATAAAAACCTGTAACTATCAAGTAGACCAATTTTTCTTTAAAAAAGAAAAAAAACAGTAAAATCTTCTTTACCTAATCAGTTTAGGATGTTAAATTTATTCTCTGGTGCACCGACTACCTTTTAATCTAATCAAATTCTGAATAAAAATACATGAATACAAATAAACACCATCAGATGGGAGAAAATTTACATACCTCAGGACAATCATGAGATTCCTTGCTTCTGTGTTCGAGGCTTAAACATGTTTAAAAAAAAAAAAACACATTTATTTAAAGTACAAACCAGTAATACAGTTAAAGAAAACTGCAGCAGGGTGAACAACTATATTCACACTACATTAATAACTGTTCATATAAAAATATTAGATAAATTAAAGATGGAATATCTATAGTTTCAAAAGTTGTAATGCCTAAATGTTCTCAATATGAGTAAAACAATTTAATATTCTAAAATATTTTCATTTTCAGTGTTTAATGTACATGAAAACACAAAAGTACCTTTCAGCCTCTTTTATTCTTTAAGGAATCAGCAAAGAGCAACAGCAGTAAACTGTCAAAGAATGCTCCAATTTTGATGATTTAAAAACATGCATGACTTTTTTTAACTACTAACAAATCTTTGTGAATTATATTCTGAAATGAATTTCTCTTAGTGCTCTTTTAATAAATGCTTGATACTTTAAATTTTAATTATAAAGAAAATACATTTCCCAAAACTCTTGGTTAGAATACAGCTTTTACCTTACATGTGTTATGTTCAAATAATATGTAATAGCCACTTTAAGCAATTTACAAGCCAGGTTCTTTTCACTTATTACATAACTGGATTTGTATCATATTCTTTAATTCACAAATATCACACATTATGCATAAGTAATCAGACCCTATGACTAGTCAAGTTTGTTTTTATCTGCCAAGTAATTACTGCATGTTAATGGCTAAAGTTATTTCAAATGCTTATACTTTCTCAAAATTAACCCTATATTATAAACACTAAAATTACTCCCAAATCCTATGTAAAAATTTAACTTACCAAAATATTCCTGAACAACCATCACATACAAATGGAAGAAAATCTAAAATTGGAGGAAATACGGTAGGTACTGGTCAGTATGTGCTTTTAATTTGGTTTTCTTATGGAAAAGCAATCTTAAGGAGGTAGAGTCTAGTGTTTATATCTTAAAGGATTGACTCTCCTTTGTAGGAGAACTGCTTTTGACTAATTTTCTAGTATATAACCACATGACCATTACTAAACATAAGTCATGATAACTTCATTAACTCTGGAAAGAAGTGACTAAATTAATAGGAGATAGATGTTATTTGTAGCGGCTTTATTAGATTTGAAAAGAAGTAGTTACACTTCTTTCTTCTCCTCATATTTCCAAGATTTACCAGGTGTTCTCTCTGAAGAATTTATATTATAAAAACTCAGCATTTGGAGGAAAAACAAAAAACCAAAAACTTGGGGATTTAATTTTGATTTCACTGCTTACTAATGCAGCTCTACTAAGTAGTTACTTTACAGTAAAGTTTTGGAGAGATGTATAGAGTACAGATAGTAAGATATAGTATGTAGTGTATGTATCTCTGTGAGACAGTTTATCTGTGTCTCCCTCTCCATGCATGCTATATGTACATACCCCCAGACCAGAACTCTATTAGCTAATATAAATACAGATACATGCATACATACATGCACACAAAGTATAAAGCATGTGCATATATGCTTATACATGAAACATGCATATGTATATATAGATATCTATGTTGTGGGCCACACCTACCTCAGCAAGTAATTATAAAATTCAAATAAGTATAAAGTATCAGAATAACAATAGAGTAAGTATAATTGGTGAGAATAATTATGATAATCAACTTTTTTTGAATATGTTAAACTCTAGAATACACTAAGGGGATAATGCTTTCACAAAGATTCCAGAAATTCAATACATGGATTGATACTTTAGTTCTTTGTTCTTTTTTTTTTTTTTCCCGGAACCAGGGATTGAACTCAGGCTCTTGCGCTTGCCAGGGAAGCGCTTATTCCACTGAGCCATCTCCCTGGCCCCTGGATTGATACTTTAAAGTTAACTGTTGAGTTATTTCCTTCGGGTTGACAAAAACTACATTAGGACCAAGCAACTGACTAGCAGCTAAGTTAGGAACTGAAGTTTTGAAAAGCATAAAAGTATCCATTCTCAGAGGTGGAAATTAATCATTAATCACCAGATAAAATCACTCACTTTCTAAATTGTGTTCAACATATCTCATACTAAATTACCCTGCAGCACTAAGACAGCCCACCTATATCAATCACTTTTACAAAGTGAAAACCAGAAGGTCCTTTTCAGTCCTCTTTAGAGAGTAGGTAAAGTTACAGTTGCCCTGAAAAGATCTCATGCTACAAGTTATCTATCTTAACCCCAAATACATTGTATTTTAACCAAAAGAGACCCCTGGGTAATTATGCTTGTACAACAGGAGGGTCTAAATAAGTCTTCCTTTAGATAGAAGAGGACTGGACAAACTTTCAGTGTCGCTACTGAAGTGTGACTGTGAGCTGCAGCTCCATACTGAGAAAATTATCAGGAACAAGGCAAGGATATGCATTCTCTCCACTTTAATTCAATATAGTCCTCAAACTTTTAGCTGGATCAATTAAGTGAGAGAAAAAAAAACTAAGAGGCATACCAATAGGAAAAGAGAAAGTTAAATTATCCTCTATACTTACAAAATCCCAAGGATTCTACCAAAAGATTTTTAGATGGCAAATGAACTCAGCCATGTAGCAGGACATACACTCAACATTAAAACATCAATAACTTAGTATGTTAATAGTGGGCTTTGAGAAAAAAAATATGTTAATAATGGGCTGAGAAAAAAAAATTCCACTCACAATAGTTTCAAATAAAATACTTAGGGCTTAGTAAAACCAATGAGGTTAAAAAATCCTGTACATTGAAAATTTCAGAATGCAGAGATTAAAGGTACCTGAAGATGGAAAGCTCTATGTTCATGGATTGGCAAAATTAATACTGTCAAAGTGGCTATATTACCAAAAGCAATCTACAAACTCAATGCAATCCCCTCAAAGTATCAATTGTGCTATTCACAAAAATAGAGAAAAAAAAGATACTAACATTGTGTGGATATACAAAACATCCAGAATAGCCAAAGCAATGCTAAGCAAAAAAGGCAAGATTGGAAGCACCACAATACTTGATCTTAAATCATCATGACTAAAGTAGCATGGTACTGGCATAAAAAAGACACATACACCAATAAATCAGGCTAGAGAACACCTAATATGATGGCAATGACAACCAGCTGATTCTGGACAAAGCAACCAAAAAAAATATGTTGGAGAAGACAGCCTTGTTTGTGAATTTTGTCCTGTTTTGTTTTTGCAGTACTGGGGATCAAACTCATTATCTTACACTTGCTGGGCAGGCACTCATGCTGCTGTATTCCCAGCCCCTAGACAGACTCTTTAACAAATAGTGCTGAAAAAACTAGAAGATTGAAACTAGATGCTTATCTCCCATCTGATTCAAAAATCAATTCAAACTGAATCAAAAATCTCGATATATGACCTGAAAATGAAAGTGCTACAAGAAAACAGAAGAAACACTTGAAGCAATAGGCACAAAGACTTTCCCAATAGGACCTCAAGGGCACAGGAAATAAGAGAATCAACAAATGGACCACACCAAATTAAAGTTTCTGCACAGCGAGAAAACATAATTGACAGAGCAAAGAAACAGCCTACAGTATGAAAGAAAACCTTTACCAACTACACTTCCAACAGAGGACTAATAGCAGAATATATAAAGAATTCAAAAAATATAATCACAAAAAAATCAAATAGTCTAATTGATTATAGGCGAGTGAACTGAATAGACACTTTTCAAAAGAGGTTCAAATAACCAATAAGGAAATGAAAAAATGTTCAACATCTTTAGTCATCTGGAATGTGCAAATTAAAACTACTTTGAAGTCAAGCAGTATGTCACAAACCTGTAATCCCAGCACTCAAGAGGCCAAAGCAGGAGGACTGCTGAGAGTTTAAATCCACCTGAACTACATAGTGGGTTTAAGTCCAGCCTGACTGCATAGCAAGAGCTTATCTCAAAAACCAGCCAACCAATCAACCAACCAACCATTACTCTGAGATTCCATTTCATCCACTCTTGATTGCTAGCATCAAGAATATAAAAACAATAAATGGGGCTGGGGAGCTCAGTGGTCTAAGTACCTACCTGACAGGAGTAAGGACCCAGGTTTGATTCCTGGTACTACATGCCGTGCTAGCCCCAGAACCCCAGGTGCACTGTGCCAGCCACTGAAACTGGGTATAGTGGAGTATACCTGTAATCCCAGCACTGGAGAGGCTGAGACAGGAGGACACTACAAGTCTAAGCTGCATAGCAAGACTCTGTACCAAATAAATAAGTAAATAAATAAGTAAATGATTAAAAAGAAAAACTTAAAACAACAAAAAACAATAAATGGTGAGGATGGGGTGTGGGGGTGTCTACACTGCTGGTTGGAATGCAAATTAGTACACCCTCTATGGAAGTTAGTGTGGAGGTTTCTCAATAAAATTTGAGCTACAATTTGATCCAGCCATATCACTCCTAGATACACACCTGAAACCATGAAGTTAGCATACAATAAAGACGCCCGTTTTTATTGCAGCATAATTCACAATGACAAAAAATATGGACTCAGCCTAAGTTCCCATCAACAGATAGATGGGCAAAGAGAATGTGGTACACATACAGAGTATTACTCAGCCATAGGAAGAAATTCTCTGCCCCCAAACAAGCCACCATCGCCCACCCTTACACCCTTTCCCCTGTCCTTACACCCCTTTCCCTCACTTGTATCGTGAGGCTTTTGGTAACTAAGTAAATATTAGATACACACCTGGAGAACCCAGGGGCAAGAGCTAAAATCAATTTCCTAACACCTGTTATCATTCTTCTATTCATCCAGAAGCTACATGAAATTTAGGGTATTCAGTTTACTCTGTATTTTAACTCTTTTTACACTGATCCAAAGGAAACAGACTTGGCCTTATGTCAGATAATTACCCTAAAGGTAGTGAAGGTGAAAAGACAAATTATATCACAGATGGTAAATACCAGTTTTAAGATGGATGAGAGAAACCCAGGCACACCAGATATACAATCTACAGTCAAAAGCCAAACGGCTAAGCTTCTATAAAAAGGACTGCAAGAAAACAAGCTTTTCATCTGTTGAGAAGCTGGTGATTACAGGTAACAGCGAAAGATACATCTACAGAATGTTGTAAGTAACCAGATCTAGCAAGAATTACATCACCTGACCTTTTTTTGGTCATGCCCACAATATCTAAAAAGTTACACTCCTCACACTGCCTCTGGGCTAAGCCTCAAACCTCAAAGTCTTTTTCAACACAGTGATTCAGGAACTTGGAACTGATGCCTGAAGCTGCAGGGTTGATGAAACCTATTTGCCACTCTATGCCAACATCTGGAGCGAAGAGTAAGTGGTCTGTGTGATTCCGATGCTGTTACGGGAGTACTCCGTGCTGAAGCCTGTGCCGCTCTACCAGGGGCTGTGTGCACCCCAAGATCTGCACAATGGAGAGACCATCACACATTACACTCTCTAGAGTACGGCTTTCAAGGCTGAAAGCTCTTCCATGTAAAACAATGTAGGAGGCTATAGTCTGATGTAGGTCCCGTACCAACATCAATGCTTTATAAGTACTTGCTCAAGCAATGATCATCAGGGTCAAGGAATGAGCAGGAAGAGGATAATGCTCATCAGAGGAGGAAGTTTGGGGACGATGACCTCTGAGACCTGATAGAAGGCCTGTCACAAACATCTAACGCTGTGAACACCAGGTCTCAACAGCTAACTCGTTCGTCTGACAGGAGTAAAAGTAAACACAACGTCTTGGAATTGGCTCGTCCTCGGTGGCAGAGGCGGGCCAGAGAGGAATCTAGGTCTCCAGGTCCTAAACCTCTCGCTCCCGCAGCTCAGGACCAGAAACGGGTGCGGGCTCCACCCCAGCAGAGCGCGCGGTGGCCTTCTCCGGCAAGGCATTGTCAACTCCGCAAGGTGCATTTGCAGAAACCGCATAGAGACCACGGGGACCAAGAGTTTCTCCCAAAGGCACAGAGGGAGCAACACCCACGAAAAGCGCCGACACGCGGCCAGCTGATCCCGGGGGATGCATCCGCCCCGGCTCAGACCCCGCGCCCCGTTGCGCCTCCCCTCACCCGCGCCACCATCCGTGGTGCGAGAGCAAGGCCTCGTTCTCCCGGGGCCGGGATGGGCACTGCTGCATCACCTCGCTGCCTGCAGTGCTCCACTTGGCAGTGCTGCCCGATATCCAGCTCCGCCATGTTTCCAGCGTGGCGATACGTGGAGCTGAACACACGCTGGGCAGCATTGTACGAGCGGTGCCTGCTGGGAGCGGGGGGCGGGGAGCGGAACGGTCGGAGGAGGAGCCTGGAGTGAGGCGGGGCCTGGGGGGAGCGGAGGGGGCCTGGGCGGAGCGAGGGGCGGGGCCTGGGGGAGGGGAGGTGAGCCTGGGCGGAGCGAGGGGCGGGGCCTGGGCGGAGCAAGGGGCGGGGCGAGGACCGGAAGTTGCCCAGGGCCTAAGCCCGAGCAGGATCCTTGTGACCTTTGCCAGGTCGCCACCTCGGAAGCCACAGTTACTGAGCGCTCTTGGAGACGAAGGTCTCTCGTCCAGCTCAGGGAAACTGCCCTTCTGGAGTTTAGGGTGCAGCCACAAGAATCAGGAATGACCGTATATGAACTTAATAAATAATTAAGAATATAACAGTACCGGGAGCAAAGAATTGCCAAGAATCAAGAGCCAGACATTGCTTATTCAGCCCCTGATTCATCCTGCGCTAATTCACCACGACTAGTTCAAAGTCCATGCCTGTGCAATAGAGTCATTAAGGCTATAAAAAAAATAAAAAAATAAAAAAAAGTTTTGTTTTTTTTTCTCTCATTTAAAAAAAATTTTCGTAGAAAAAAAATGACTCGAGGTCTCGAGCGGGTACGGGGCACAGAGGACTCCTTAGTTTGTGCTGACTCGGTTAGCACGACCTGGAGGAAACTGGGGGTTCCTCCATCAGGTGCCAGAGAAGCCACTGCCCAGGTACCGAGGAGAGAGGGCTTGGTAGGCGGGGCGGGAAGGGCGCCCTTCCGCCAGCCAGCGTGACGCCTGGCGCCAGTCCGCAGGTGAGTTACTGCTCCCCTCGTGACGCGAGCCAGCTAGGGAGCTATTCGGCTGACCCTATATAACTTTGAGGACCCCAAGTCAGTATCTGTTGAGGAAGGCAAAAGGATAGAACTGGGAAACAGATTTGATAATTCAGGATTTAAGATTTTTTAAATGTCAGAATTGCTTGAGTCTCTAGAAAAACTAAATATTTGGAGCTAAACCGCGTTTTTTCTTTTTGCTTTTGTTTTTTATTTTTTAAGCCGTGAAACTGGTTCGTGAAAGCTATAAAATTTGGGAAAATTAGCACAAGAGCTAAGACTAAAATTCAAGTACTGTACCAAAGACTTATTGCAACTAAGGGTCAGAGACCTTCTGGGATTTTGTGTTTCATTTTGCTAATCCAGTCAATCAATAGCAGGTTTCCTAGACATGCATTTGAATGTTGTAGACAGGTGGCAAATATGTATTTTATCAGTCCAATCATAATGGAAATATTTTTATTTTGTCAGTTCTTGGAGACCTCATGGAACATTAGATGTTTAAAATTGCTAGCTCTCTCACTTTTAGTCCTGTTGTTAATTTCTCCTTTGGGAGCTATGTAAACACATCTATTTCTCCATAACTTGTCTTTGATTGATTCATCAGTTTACATCCTCATGCAAGTGAAATTCTCATGACTTCAATATAAAGACTCCAATACCCTTGTATCCATGAACTCTGAGAACTTTATTTCAAACTGAGGTCTCTATCTCCAAGGGTCTGTTAGAAGCATCCACTTAGTGTTATTTATCCTGTAAAACGTTAGTCCAACGTGGAATGTTTCCGTCATCATCTCATCCCCTCCCTAACACAAGCAGACGACCACATTTGAAGCACTGGGTTCATTTTCCACTTTTTTCCTGTTTCTCTCTTGGGCATAGCCATTAAACATTTGTCAATTCTGCTTCAGAGATATCTCTCAAGTCTGTACTCCTGAATATCTCTGGTTACCCCTGCCCCCCAACCCCTCACTTTTTCACCTGTTAGCCTCCCACAGTTACAACATTCTTGCCTTTCCAAAGATTTTTACACTGTAACCTTCATGGGATTCTCCAGTCTCAGTCGTAGCCACTTCCCCACAAACTCCCTCTTCTGTTTCCTACTTATGCCTCTATGTCATTAACAAACTTTGGCACCTGCCTCATTTTTTCCTGGAGTGTTCTCTATACCAAGATTTCCCAAACTTTCTTGAAAATAAGAATGAAGTGACATGCTTGTTAATAAATATGGCTGGCCATACTCCTCCCTGAATCTAATTTGGAGGGTCTGGAATGGTTCTGGGAAGTTGTATTTTTAACATGCACTTTCACGTTTATTCTTATCAGTTAAGTTTAGGAAACACTTTAGTCTCTCACTGCCTCTTTAGAGTGTAGTTCTCTTGACCCTTTGTCTGGAAGGCTTCCAGAAGGCACAGGCGAAACTCAGTCCTCTAGAGCAGCAGACCTCTGCTCTAGTAGCACTTGCTATTTATCTTACTACCACTAACCAGGTTGTATTATAATTTACCTGCTTCACACCCTACTCTTGTCCCAGTAGCTTTTGTATTTTACAAAATACATCTGTGCTCAAGCCAATTCAGCAATTCACTCCATAAAACCTACTGCATGAGAGATATTCTACGTGTGACACAGAACTGAATAACTCAAGGCTCCTGCCTTTCAGGA